GAAGAAGAAGAAGAAGAAGAAGAAGAAGAAGAAGAAGAGGAGGAGAAGAAGGAGAAGAAGAAGAGGAGGAGAAGAAGGAGAAGAAGAAGAGAGGAGAAGAGAAGAAGAAGAAGAAGAAGAAGAAGAAGAAGAAGAAGAAGAAGAAGAAGAAGAAGAAGAAGAAGAAGAAGAAGAAGAAGAAGAAGAAGAAGAAGAAGAAGAAGAAGAAGAAGAAGAAGAAGAAGAAGAAGAAGAAGAAGAAGAAGAAGAAGAAGAAGAAGAAGACGTAGAAGAAAGAAGAAGAAGAAGAAGAAGAAGAAGAGAAGAGAAGAGGAAGAAGAAGAAGAAGAAGAAGAAGAAGAAGAAGAAGAAGAAGAAAGAAGAAGAAGAAGAAGAATAAGAAGAGAAGAAGAATAAGAAGAGAAGAAGAAGAAGAAGAAGAAGAAGAAGAAGAAGAAGAAGAAGAAGAAGAAGAAGAAGAAGAAGAAGAAGAAGAAGAAGAAGAAGAAGAAGAAGAAGAAGAAGAAGAAGAAGAAGAAGAAGAAGAAGAATAAGAAGAAGAAGAAGAAGAAGAAGAAGAAGAAGAAGAAGAAGAAGAAGAAGAAGAAGAAGAAGAAGAAGAAGAAGAAGAAGAAGAAGAGAAGAGGAAGAAGAAGAAGAAGAAGAAGAAGAGAAGAGGAAGAAGAAGAAGAAGAAGAAGAAGAAGAAGAAGAAGAAGAAGAAGAAGAAGAAGAAGAAGAAGAAGAAGAAGAAGAAGAAGAAGAAGATGCTTCAACAACATCTCCTAGAGTGAATTATTGTAGTGAATCTCAAATATGTTTTTTCAGTCCTTATTAATTGTTGAGGAGTGAAGGACCGTTGGGCGGGGAACATGGCGCCGAAGACGAGTTTGGGTCCAAGGTCACGGGAGTGCGCGCGCACACACACACACACACACACACACACACACACACACACACACACACACACACACACACACATACTTGGGTGTTGGTAGCTGAGTGGACAGCACGCTGGACACGTAATCCTGTAGACCGGGGTTCTATTCCTGGCGCCGGCGTGATACAAAAATGGGCAGAGTTTCTTTCACCCTCATGCCCCTGTTACCTAGCAGTAAATAGGTACCTGGAAGTTAGACAGCTCTTAGGGTTGGTTTCTGTGTGTACTCACCTAGTTGTACTCACCTAGTTGTGTTTGCGGGGGTTGAGCTCTGGCTCTTTGGTCCCACCTCTCAACTGTCAATCACCTGGTGTACATATTCTTGAGCCTACTGGTCTCTATCACATCTACATTTAAAACTGTGTATGGCGTCAGCCTCCACCACATCACTGCCTAATGCATTCCATCTGTTAAGTACTCTGACACTGAAAAAGTTCTTTCTAACGTCCCTGTGGCTCATTTGGGTACTCAGTTTACACCTTTGTCGCTTGTTCGCGTACCACTAGTGTTGAATAGTTTATCCTTGTTTACCCTGTCAATTCCCCTGAGGATTTTGTAGGTAGTGATCATGTCTCACCTCACTCTTTTGTCTTCCAGTGTCGTAATGTGCATTTCCCGCAGCTTTTGCTCGTAACTCATGCCTCTTAGTTCTGGGACTAGTCTAGTGGCATACCTCTGAACTTTTTCAAGCTTCATCTTGTGCTTGACAAGGTATGGGCTCCATGCTGGGGCCGCATACTCCAGGATTGGTCTTACGTGTGTGGTGTACAAGATTCTAAACGATTTTTTACACAGGTTCAAGAAGGCTGTTCTGATGTTAGCCAGCCTCGCATATGCCGCAGACGTAATTCTCTTTATGTGGGCTTCAGGAGACAGGTTTGGTGTGATGTCAATTCCTAGATCTTTCTCTCTTTCCGTTTCATTAAGTACTTCATCTCCTATTCTGAATCTTGTGTCTGGCCTCCTGTTTCCACCGCCTAGTTTCATTACTTTGCATTTACTCGGGTTAAACTTTAGCAGCCATTTGTTGGACCATTCATTCAGTCTGTCTAGGTCGTCCTGTAGCCTCCTACTATCATCCTCTGTTTCAATTGTTGAGGTTATCTTGAGATGATTTCGGGGCTTTTTAGTGTCCCCGCGGCCCGGTCCTCGACCAGGCCTCCACCCCCAGGAAGCAGCACGTGACAGCTGACTAACACCCCAGGTACCTATTTTACTGCTAGGTAAATAAATATGGTGAAAGAAACTCTGCCCAATGTTTCTCGCCGGCGCCTGGGATCGAACCCAGGACCACAGGATCACAAGTACAGCGTGCTGTCCGCTCGGCCGACCGTCTCCCTAATAATAATCCTCATAATTTTTGCATCATCAGCAAACATTGAGAGAAACGATTCTATACCCTCTGGGAGATCATTTACATATTTCAGAAAAAGTATTGGTCCAAGGACTGACCCCTGCGGTACTCCACTTGTGACGTCACGCCAATCCGAGACCTCACACCTCACAGTGACTCGTTTTCTTTTGTTACTTAAGTACTCCCTTATCCAACGAAGTACCTTCCCTTTCACTCCAGCCTGCATCTCCAGCTTTTTCACTAGCCGCTTGTGTGGTACTGTATCAAAGGCTTTTTGATAATCCAAAAATATGCAGTCTGCCCAACCCTCTCTTTCTTGCCTGATTTTTGTTTCCCTGTGAGGCAGGACTTGCCATCTCTGAACCCATATTGATGCTGTGTTACAAAGTTCTTTCGCTCCAGATGTTACACTAGCTTTCTTCGCACAATCTTCTCCATCAGCTTGCATGGTATGCAGGTTAGGGACACTGGCCTGTAGTTCAGTGCCTCCTGCCTATCCCCTTTCTTGTATATTGGAACTACATTAGCTGCCTTCCAAATATCTGGCAGTTCCCCTGTTGCCAGTGATTTGTTATACACTATGGAGAGTGGCAGGCACAGTGCTTCTGCTCCTTCCCTTAGTATCCAAGGAGGAGATTCCATCTGGGCCTATAGCCTTTGTCACATCCAACTCTAGTAAACCCTTCTTTACTTCCCCACTGGTAATCTCAAACTCTTCTAGTGGTTCTGGTTAACTATTCCCTTTATTATCTCTGAAATCTCTCCCTGCTCCAAGGTGAAGACCTCCTAGAATTTCCTATTCAGTTCCTCACACACTTCCTTGTCGTTTGTAGTGAATCCTTCTGCCGCTATCTTTATATTCATTACCTGTGTGTGTGTGTGTGTGTGGGGATAAAAAATAGTTTTTAACAGTTAATTGATTGACTGGAGAGGCGGGCCAAAAGCGCAGAGCTTAACCCCCGCAAGCACAAATAGGTGAATACAACTAGGTAAATACAAGTGACGTTACGGAGGCTGACTCCATAAACAGTTTCAGAGTTAACTATGATAGAGTCCAAAATTCTCAGTAACCTGAACACCAGTTCATTAGGATATAGGAGGCGGGACCAAAGAGCCGGAGGTCAACCACACAAGTACAATTTGGTGAGCGTAATTAAGTAAGGTAAGTTCTGAAAAGAGAAAGCCAGAAGAATTGTTCCCAAGACTGTTTGGTCCTTCATCTAAGAGTCAAGATCTCCAAGGAGAGGCTCAATGAACTAGACCTAAGAACTGTGGAAAAGAGAAGGGAAAGATGTAACATGATTATGACATACAAGATTCTTATAAGCAGACACAAAGCTTACAAAAGTCAAAATGTTTGGCGTTAAAAATGGCAGGAAGATATTCAATACTTCCTTCGTTACGAGAGAATATATAAGAACCAACACGCCATAAACCACTGCTGTGGGCGACTAGTGACTGCAAGACAGAGCCCAGGTACTAAAGCTCGTCCAGCAAGAACATATAGGATGGGATACACGTGATTGGAAACAAATGAATACAAACATATTGCAGCAAATATATCACAAAATAAAGCATAACAAAGATTTATATTAAAAATATATATATAATAAAATGTAGTTAGATTTATGCTAGTGCTCCTGAGAATACACATGTATATGTATTTATAGGTGCCGACGTACATGAGATTTACTGAGAACAAATATTATTGTTGAATCGTAAGCAGTAAGCTGCAAGTTCAGCTCAACTTTAGAGACACAAGTACCGTGTCTGGAAGTGGATACTTGTCTCGTTAGTCTAGAATTGTGAACATTAATATTGTTACTATCAACTTCCGCTTACTATTACTGCAACTACTAATACTATTATTACTGCTAGTACTAATGCTACTACTACTGCTACTACTACTACTATTACTACTGCTATTACTACTACTATTACTACTACTACTACTACTACTACTATTACTATTGCTACTACTACTACTATTACTGCTGCTACTACTACTACTATTACTACTACTACTACTACTACTACTACTATTACTATTGCTACTACTACTACTACTACTACTACTACTACTACTACTACTACTACTACTACTACTACTACTACTACTACTACTAATAATAATAATAATAATAATAATAATAATAATAATAATAATAATAATAATAATAATAATAATAATAATAATAATCAAATTAATTAGATTTGTTGTGCTCAAAACAATGAGAGTTACGTGCACTAAGAAGACCCAACCACTTGGAATGGTTAGGACAGCGACGGCCTCGCTTCTTGCAGATCGGTGTTCGATACCCTGTGGTCCAAGATGTTGGGCATTGTATTTTTCCTCTGTATTGTCCCACATCCTTGCAATTATATTTCATTATGCAGAGAAAATAAGGAAAAGTGAAGGAAAATTAACAAGTAACAAAAAAGTAAAATAGAATTAGAACGAGAGCAAGAAAAAAGAGAAACAAAATGAACGTGACGAACACGAACGAAATAAACGACAAGAACTAGAAGAACGAGAAACGAGACGAACACAAATAAGATAAACGAGACGAACACCAAAGAGATGAACGAGACGAACACGAACAAGAACAACGAGACGAACACGAACAAGAAGAACGAGACGAACACGAACACGAAAAACGAGACGCACTCAAACATGATGAACATAGAGAACAGCCGCAACACCTCCGCACCACGACGGTTAAACTAGTCACAAAGGAGGCAAAAAACAAGGATGATAACCCGGGCGACAAGCCGGCAGTTGCTGGGAGGAGGGAGCTGTGAGGCTGGGGCCAGCTGTGAGGCTGGGGCCAGCTGTGAGGCCGGGGCCAGCTGTGAGGCTGGGGCCAGCTGTGAGGCCGGGGCCAGCTGTAGAGGGAGCTGTGAGGCCGGGGCCAGGTGTAGAGGGAGCTGTGAGGCCGGGGCCAGCTGTGAGGCTGGGGCCAGCTGTAGAGGGAGCTGTGAGGCCGGGGCCAGCTGTAGAGGGAGCTGTGAGGCTGGGGCCAGCTGTGAGGCCGGGGCCAGCTGTGAGGCCGGGGCCAGCTGTGAGGCTGGGGCCAGCTGTGAGGCCGGGGCCAGCTGTGAGGCTGGGGCCAGCTGTGAGGCCGGGGCCAGCTGTGAGGCCGGGGCCAGCTGTGAGGCTGGGGCCAGCTGTGAGGCTGGGGCCAGCTGTGAGGCCGGGGCCAGCTGTGAGGCTGGGGCCAGCTGTGAGGCTGGGGCCAACAGTGAGGCCGGGGCCAGCTGTGAGGCCGGGGCCAGCTGTGAGGCCGGGGCCAACTGTGAGGCCGGGGCCAGCTGTGAGGCCGGGGCCAGCTGTGAGGCTGGGGCCAGCTGTGAGGCCGGGGCCAGCTGTGAGGCCGGGGCCAGCTGTGAGGCCGGGGCCAGCTGTGAGGCTGGGGCCAGCTGTGAGGCTGGGGCCAGCTGTGAGGCTGGGGCCAGCTGTGAGGCTGGGGCCAGCTGTGAGGCTGGGGCCAGCTGTGAGGCCGGGGCCAGCTGTGAGGCCGGGGCCAGCTGTGAGGCTGGGGCCAACAGTGAGGCCGGGGCCAGCTGTGAGGCCGGGGCCAGCTGTGAGGCCGGGGCCAACTGTGAGGCCGGGGCCAGCTGTGAGGCCGGGGCCAGCTGTGAGGCTGGGGCCAGCTGTGAGGCTGGGGCCAGCTGTGAGGCTGGGGCCAGCTGTGAGGCTGGGGCCAGCTGTGAGGCCGGGGCCAGCTGTGAGGCCGGGGCCAGCTGTGAGGCCGGGGCCAGCTGTGAGGCTGGGGCCAGCTGTGAGGCCGGGGCCAGCTGTGAGGCCGGGGCCAGCTGTGAGGCCGGGGCCAGCTGTGAGGCTGGGGCCAGCTGTGAGGCCGGGGCCAGCTGTGAGGCCGGGGCCAGCTGTGAGGCCGGGGCCAGCTGTGAGGCTGGGGCCAGCTGTGAGGCTGGGGCCAGCTGTGAGGCTGGGGCCAGCTGTGAGGCTGGGGCCAGCTGTGAGGCTGGGGCCAGCTGTGAGGCCGGGGCCAGCTGTGAGGCCGGGGCCAGCTGTGAGGCTGGGGCCAGCTGTGAGGCCGGGGCCAGCTGTGAGGCCGGGGCCAGCTGTGAGGCTGGGGCCAGCTGTGAGGCTGGGGCCAGCTGTGAGGCTGGGGCCAGCTGTGAGGCTGGGGCCAGTTGTGAGGCTGGGGCCAGCTGTGAGGCCGGGGCCAGCTGTGAGGCCGGGGCCAGCTGTGAGGCCGGGGCCAGCTGTGAGGCTGGGGCCAGCTGTGAGGCCGGGGCCAGCTGTGAGGCCGGGGCCAGCTGTGAGGCCGGGGCCAGCTGTGAGGCTGGGGCCAGCTGTGAGGCTGGGGCCAGCTGTGAGGCTGGGGCCAGCTGTGAGGCTGGGGCCAGCTGTGAGGCTGGGGCCAGCTGTGAGGCCGGGGCCAGCTGTGAGGCCGGGGCCAGCTGTGAGGCTGGGGCCAGCTGTGAGGCCGGGGCCAGCTGTGAGGCCGGGGCCAGCTGTGAGGCTGGGGCCAGCTGTGAGGCTGGGGCCAGCTGTGAGGCTGGGGCCAGTTGTGAGGCTGGGGCCAGCTGTGAGGCCGGGGCCAGCTGTGAGGCCGGGGCCAGCTGTGAGGCCGGGGCCAGCTGTGAGGCTGGGGCCAGCTGTGAGGCTGGGGCCAGCTGTGAGGCTGGGGCCAGCTGTGAGGCTGGGGCCAGCTGTGAGGCTGGGGCCAGCTGTGAGGCTGGGGCCAGCTGTGAGGCCGGGGCCAGCTGTGAGGCCGGGGCCAGCTGTGAGGCTGGGGCCAGCTGTGAGGCCGGGGCCAGCTGTGAGGCTGGGGCCAGCTGTGAGGCTGGGGCCAGTTGTAGAGGGAGCTGTGAGGCCGGGGCCAGCTGTGAGGCTGGGGCCAGTTGTAGAGGGAGCTGTGAGGCCGGGGCCAGCTGTAGAGGGAGCTGTGAGGCGGGGGCAGCTGAGGCCGGGGCAGCTGTGAAGCCGGGGGCAGCTGTGAGGCCGGGGCAGCTGTGAGGCCGGGGCAGCTGTGAAGCCGGGGGCAGCTGTGAGGCCGGGGCAGCTGTGAGGCCGGGGCAGCTGTGAGGTTCGGGATGCTTGGGTCCAAGAGACCAAAGCAGTAGCAGCAGCAGCTGGAGGACTGAACCGGGGCTTGATCAGCCTTGGAGGAAGGCAGGAGCAGCTGTACATACCGATTAGTATTTACTTATCAGTGTCTACGGGGAAGAGAGGTAAATACATAAAGTACATAAAGTACTCTTTATGCCCCGCCTGCTGTCCTTGTTGTAGCTGCTGCGTGTTAGCTTAACGTTTCTGGCGTTCGATTTTTGGTCAAATCTTGCCTTAAAGTTGTGGATGTGATCTGTCATCTTGATGGTTTGATGAATAGCATCGATGTGAACGGGGAAATGAGACAGGAAGAGTTTGACTGAGGGAAAAAGAGACTCAAGGAGGGAGGGAGGGATGGAGGGAAGAGGTGACCGAGGGAAAGAGTGAAGGAGCGAGGGGGTGACCAGAGAAGGAGGAACTGAGAGGGAAACTAAGACTAGGATAGAGGGAGGGAGGGAGGAAGGAAGACATAAATGGAGTAAGATAGTGTAAAAAAAGAGGAGAGGAGGAGGCGAGGAAGCAGTGATGAGTGAGGTATGTAATGGATGAGGGAGGATGTCCACCAAGGTGAGCAGGGAAGGCTGGCTGGCCGGGGGACACACCCTGCTCTGACCTTCCTTGGCGTCCCCACCCTGTCTCCACACCCACTGCTTTCAGAGTCCTGTCATGAGTGTATACGTGAGTGCACTTGTGAGTGTGTATGTGTGAGTGCGTGTTGTTCCTGGTGTGTGTTTGCGTCGCGAACTGCCGCTACCGCAGTTTAGAGTCAGATAACAGTTTTTAACATCTGTTATATTTAGTATGAGGTGTGGCATCTCGAGGGTCTGGCCGCCTCCAGGACACCTACGGAGCGCTACTGACGAGTCCAGCCGTTCCCGGGTCTCCAGCCACAGCCAGAGATCACGTGACGCACGAAGGCGTATCATCCCCCCGCGCACCTGCATGGCTCCAACCAACTGGGTTGAACAATAAACCGGTTTAACGATTATGCAATACAAATTATTTCTGATCAATATTGTTTTTATTGTTTTATCAGCGCTGGGTAATTGGGTTTGAGAGTCTAGTGTACTGACCACTCTGCTACGGGGTAGAGAATTCACTGACCACTTAAGAGATCTGAACCTCTTATCTCAATCATGGCTGCATTTATTAAACAGTTTACGAGTTGCATAGCGCTACGAGGTCGTCCATAACAATATTATCCTTAAGTTAAAGATGGCCTCTTAGCTCGTAAGGTGTTTAGTAAATACAAATAAGTTACCCATAGTCGAAAAAAAAAGATTCAGATCTCGCAAGTAAACACTTAAGTGACACTTTATACCTCCTCCTATACTTATACCTCCTCCTATACTTATTCTTCCTCGCTCCACTGAACTCATATTAGGTATTCGTTGCTAAGACCCACGTCCTGGTGCGCCTTCAAACTACATAACGAATCAGAGTGTTGCGTTCAGCACCTTCTCGTTATCTCTCCCTCAGGCATGCTCGTCACTCTTCCAAATGATATTTAGCTGAGACTTGAGCGTCTTGTTCTCTGTTTTATCCTCGTCAACACTCAGAATCTACTCATCCATCTATATTGGGCAACGTCATGTTGTTGCGAGCGTGCAGCCCATCCTCCTGTTTTGGTAGTACTTAGGAAGGATGAAGACCATAGTACATATAGCGACGTACAACGCAATTAGAAATCGGTACTGTTGAATCTGGACAAACCGGAAAACTATTTTCTACTGATGTTGAAAAATCAAGTTAAACTAAACTAACCTTCCTAGCCCTAATACACGCTATATGAGGCCGAATATTGTACATATGTTAGTTATACTTAACCTAGGAATACTTAAGTTTGTATTTTAGCTCCAGTTTTTTCAGACTATAAAGTGAATAGTACAAAATTCTGCTATCTAATGGCTTAGTACGCAATGTTTGTACATTGGTGAACACAGTTACAAAAGTAATATCTAAACAGGAGGATGCGTTGTGATATCATCACTGTACTGGATATTGTGTAGGTTACTCGAAGCCAAGTGCAGTCACACATCACTACACACCCAGTCATACATTCGCCCCCTTCCCAACACATTCACTCGTCCTCCCCCTCCCTGTCCCCCAACACATTCACCTGTCCTCCCCAACACATTTACCCGTCCTCCCCCTCCCCCCTTCCTGCCCCCAACATATTCACTCCTCGTGCAGATGATGAGTCACAATAAAGTGGCTGAAAAATGTTGACCAAACCACACACTAGAAATTGAAGCGACGACGACGTTTCGGTCCGTCCTGGATTATTATCACAATCGACTTGATAATGGTCCAGGACGGACCGAAACGTCGTCGTCGCTTCAATTTCTAGTGTGTGGTTTGGTCAGCATATTCACTCCTCCCCCCCTCCTCTCCCAGCATGAAACTCATTCACACCTTCATGAAGCATTTCACTTCCCCCTTCCCTATAGGTAGCCTACACACAGCACAGTCACCCCATGCACTCTTCCTGCACAAGAGGTTAGACGTGTGATCTTGCTGCATCCCATCCTCCTATACTCTACCTAAGGCCAAAAATTGTTGTATTCGAAAATGGTAGCGGCTCGGGAAATTGACATACAGTCCCTTTTTCTGTTTTGGGTCCTCTGGTAAGTTAGAATAAAGACACTTTAGTACGACAGTTTCTTGATGTTGGGAAATCTTAGGAGGACGGGCTGTTTGTTGTACAAGACAGGCTATGAATTACAAATACAAATAATCACCAACAGAACCTAAACACCTAACTTAACCTATTCCTATATATGCACAATATGCTAATATCTTATAATATTAATATATATTTGAGAAAATTCCCATTTTGAATAAACAGCATGTTAAAATTTATGAATGTGCCTGTGGGGTCGACCGCTGGATGTAATGGACTTGAATCAGGGACGGGTTGGAGGTTTGGCGGGTGCATGGAATGGACTTTGGCCTTTGCTTATGAGGACGTGTTGACTCACAACTAATGACGTCCAAACACTTCCGGAACAAGTGCTTCCCTGACGTGCCATTAATTTATATTTGCTATTAATTCAAATTTGAGAAAATTCGTTTTTTGAATAATCAGCATGTTAAAATTGAGGAATGCGTGTTTAGGGTCGACCGCTGGATGGAACGGCCTTGGTCTGAGAACGGGTTGATCGTGGGCGTGGTGAATACTCTCTGGGCGCTAAAGATACTTTGTGGGTTGGTGTTTTCGACCCCCCTCCCCTCCCCGGACCGTAAGCATCTGACTCATGCTTTATTGTGAGCGCTGAAGTGCCAATGTACTTTGGTGCAGTTATGAATAAGTTGTGAGCATTTTATGAATACGTTATAAGCATTTTGGGCGTAGTGAGTATTGAATGGGTGGTATCGTGATCGATGCTTTGTCACAGCAATGACAGGCTTTTTCTTGTGCTAGAATTAAACAACTAGAGATGGCGGCCCTCAGGAAATTTCAGATAACCTTTGACAATACATATAAAACACAAGGTTATCTTTTATGTTTCGTCAACTTACCTAACACTAGTATTTCTATACCTGGTTGGTGTTATATTTATTGTAACAGAATGGTCTCTTCTGTGGTAGACGAGCGTTTATTAAACATCGTTCAACACAAACAAGTAATTTTCCTCAGTTTCTTCCAGTTTCTATCTCAGAATGTGTATGAATTTAATTACATGATATTGCATAACATATGTTATTAAATTAACTGAAAATTAATTACTTATGTAGTTTGCTACATAATAAATAATATTTAAGTTTATATAGTTTCTGGAGTGGCGTGTCATTCACGCACATATTATTACATATTCTTGGTGTTTAACGCCTGGACTACGGGCTCACCATAGCCCGTGCTGCTTGGAACTTTTTGTTCCAGGTAGCAAATCTTTAACAACAGCTAGGAATTACTCTACGGGCTCACCATAGCCCGTGTTACTTGGAACTTTTTTGTTCCGAGTAGCGAATCTTTAACAACAACAGCAACAGCTAGGAATTTCAATGTGGCTTCCAAATGACGTCAGCGAAGCATCTATGTAGTGGAGGTAATCCCACTCCAGTTTTTAGATGCTCCTCCTCCTTGCTCATCCGCAAGTAAACAAAAAACCACATAGCCTCCTGACGTCAAGGAACGGGGCTCTATATTACACCATTTCCATAACCAACACTCGCCATCACGTGTCACTAGCCTACGGTGGAGTGCTGACCTTGGGCTATGTCGTAGTGTTTACGGTCACCAATATGTGGTTATCATAATAGTCTTCACAGTCAGCTTACTATTCATATTCGTTGGGTTATGTTAGATTAGATTAATTAGTCAAGCCAATTACATATTTTCAACTGTATAACCAGCAAACCGTGATGTCACCAAGGGTGATGCCAGGCTGATTATGAGTTGTATTCATGAGCAAACAGTTTACACGAGAGCGTTGCATCCACAGAGCACAGTGCCCCATGGTAGACTATACAGAGCTACGCGGTGTCCCAGTCTACTCGAATCATAACCACTTACTTGTTCTAAAATCATCATTAACAAATCCTATTTCAATTTCTTGATGTGATAAAACGCTTACAACAAATTCTCGCCCTGAACTAATTTCATATTTGATTTGTGATATTTATATTTCCGTAAGGCGACGCGTGCTCTCTTTCTGTGGTGATACATGCTCTGTTACTGTGGTGATTCATGCTCTGTTACTGTGGTGATACATGCTCTGTTACTGTGGTGATACATGCTCTGTTACTGTGGTGATACATGCTCTGTTACTGTGGTGATACATGCTCTCTTTCTGTGGTGATACATGCTCTCTTTCTGTGGTGATACATGCTCTCTTTCTGTGGTGATACATGCTCTTTTTCTGTGGTGATACATGCTCTGTTACTGTGGTGATACATGCTCTCTTTCTGTGGTGATACATGCTCTGTTACTGTGGTGATACCTGCTCTGTTACTGTGGTGATACATGCTCTGTTACTGTGGTGATACATGCTCTGTTACTGTGGTGATACATGCTCTCTTTCTGTGGTGATACATGCTCTCTTTCTGTGGTGATACATGCTCTGTTACCATGGTGATAC